TGCGCCAATATTGTGCACTTTAAATGTCCTAAATGGAAAGCTCCCACAAAAAACGCATCCTCTGCCATTTCCAGTACGTTGCGGAATTGTTATCACCAACTAATGCTGACGAGATAATGGGCCTTGAATAGCGAAGAAATGGATAGTGTTGCGGAAAAACCTGGCCCCATCTTTTCGGCGAAGCTGTAGCACAGCGTGATGACCTTAAATGCACAACCATCCAAAATTGTAGGAAAAACATATCATATAAATGTTTAAAAACCGTGGTAGCGACGATTTGATCGAAACATTGAGCAATAAATGGCTCCATCATAACAGACCTTAGGCATAAAAAGCAGATTCAACGCCAAAGTCTCAACGAAACGGAACCTGTAAGGTTCTTACGACCCCCTTCGTTGTGAATTCCATAACGGATAGTCTGCCGTGTTGCTGTACGTTTGTGTACTTTTATTTTGTTTTCGTCCTACTATTCCCTTTGCCCTGTAGCAACAACCCCACACTATTCTCTCTTAAATTCAGCCAATTTCTTCGCCTAATTGGTATCGATCTTTCACCCTTGTTCGGCTGTTAAAAGAAGTTTTACGTTACAGTTAGAAGCGGCCCACCAATGGCTGCCTATGCGTTGGGGCCCAAGTCGGTTGATTTCGACAAAGTATGGGGTAACCTACAACCATCTGTGATCGAAATCATGAATCTTCATCCGATGACGAAGAAGGACTGGGATGACAAGTTTCAGTGAGTTTTGTTACTTAACTTTCATTTCCTTTTGAGTTCTTGCCTGGTCGCTGACCTTTTTGTTCCATCTGTTTGTTGTTTGTTTTACTTCCGATTTGATTTCGAATTTGATAAAGTAGTTCCGCCCAGGGGAGAGGGAAGGGGCATTCCGCATTTCCTTTACCTACCGTCGTGTGGAGGCCTGTGAAATCTTGTGAAGCTACGGGATGATACCAGTCAAAGTTTGAAGAGACCACCTGCCAATTCCTGTAATACAATGAAATACCATTCACCATGATGACTCGACGAGTTACTCCAGCTTCACAAGACTTCGCAGTTTCATTAGAGCGAGACTTGTAAACCAGAACCAGTGAACTAGTATTAATGCAGATGCCCCGTCGCCGAAGCGCGCTGATAAAGTTTGGTTTTCATTTTGGTGTCTTATTTTTCGTGATAAAATGACTATCGGAGACCCGTTGTTAGTGCACTACACAACTGACTCCCACTTGGAGTTATGGTAACAATTGAGCGCCTATTGCCTTTGTACAATAATGGTGGGGGCTGGCTGCGTGAGTGTCCATATCACCCAAACGAGGCTGATGCTCTACGCCGGTGGAAATGCAGGTTTCATTAGCTTGTACAGAATGTGGTCTAGAAATATCATACGTGTTTAAAGGGCGTTTTTTGCGCTTATCCTTTCTCCACCCTGTATTTTTGTTTTTTAGCGGTTTAGCAGGAATCTACAAAAGAGTTGTCTCCACGAAGGGGGCATACAAATAGCGTGATCATACTCCTTCAACTGGAGCGACTGAATCGCTCGCATTGGTCGCGAAGTATGAACAGCCCTTGATGAAATAGTTTTAAGTTTCCCTTCCGGAATGTTGGGTGCACTGTTGTGCATCACATATTAGGGAAGATCAAAGCAATTCTTCAGAAGAGAATACATGACGAATCCTGAGAAGAGATAGGTCAACACCTAAAGCTTCGATTTTTATGAATGCGAACGATGGTGAGAGACAGGCATAAGCAGCGAATATATGGAAACGAAGGGGGTGGTGGGGGAGGGAGGGGGAGAGGAGGAGGAAGAGTTAAGCAGCTCTCTGTACCATACGTTGGAACTTTCCTTTTACCTTTTCAAGATTTTTATCACTGTATTTCTTGTTGTCCTTATTTTGTCATACACCTAATTTTTCACTGAAAACTTGCGACCGTTGTAGATATGAGAGACGTGTTCTGAGAGCGCGTTCATACTTTACGATCGCATCAATTGGATGGCCTGAGCGATCGCGCAATCACATTGTGAAGTGTGAATGTGCTCTTAACACGTTGGCGACATTGCGTCCCACTGCTGGGATGCGGCATGGGTAAAAACCAATTTGAATACGTTTCAAATTTTCAACAGCTACATATTGTCCAGGAAGGCATTGTAGAATATACAGTAGCTGTAAACCATGCAGTTGTGTCATTGAGAGTATTTTACCGAGGAGACAAACGAAAAGTGATTTCCTTAGGAAAAAGGTAATTTTTGGATATATAGAACTGAAGCTCCACATGCAGATAGCTAATGTGATAAGGTAACTTTCAACAATAGCAGATCTGAATCGAATCCAATTTACCACCTCTGGCGCGAAAATATTCCTTTTTTGCGACCTTGTTCCCACGCTCCACGTGAATGAGGCGGGAGTATTCCATGAAAATTTAGGGTTTATCTTGAAAGTAAACAAAAAAGCGAAGCCTTACTAGCTTCTGCAATGAATTCTAATTCTTCAATTGTTTTGGTGCATAAACGCCCTAGCATTTATGCGCATTCTTCGAAAATAGGGAAAAACTGCTTGGTCCCACGCGGCAGACACGCGAAAATGCGCCTTGTCGCCAATGTGTTCATCGCCGTTTGAAGAGACTATATACATCGCCTCCAAACAGCCGCTTCAACCAACCATAATTCCATGCTAAACAAAGGCCTTAGCAGGGGGAAAAAGGACATTAAGGGCCTCCTGCACTTCTTCCCGAACTAAAGCCAAGAAATTTGTCCTTTTTTTGCTGCAGTGTTGGATTTTGATTCACTAGATACTGTTATTTTCTTTCAGTGACGTCTATGATATCTGTGTGGCAATACCTGAGCCGCTTAGCAGCCGTTTGTATACATCTATGAAGAAATGTATTGAGATGCATGTGACGAGTCTTTATGAGGTATGTTTGAAGTCTTCACGATAGGTAGCTCACCCTATCCTTGGTTTGATTATTTATCATTTTAAGAAAATAGCCAACGTTCCCTCCGATGAATTATTGAACCAGTATTATTCTATGTGGAAAATTTACTACAAGGGAGCGAATTACGTTCACAGGCTCTTTGGGTACGTTTTTCCAGTCTTTGCCATAGTAAGGCATGTTCGGCTTGGTGAGGCAATTCGATGATTTCACCCATCGCTACATGCCTCCTATGGAGACCTGTAGATCGCTGTGAATCTATGCATGAGCACGGAATTCGTTTGCACGTGGTCATAATCTGATGATCTACCCCAACGCTATTTATTAAGATATCTGAATAATCAGTTTGTGAAGTCGAAACGCTCCGTGGAGGGTGATGCAGTGGCCAGTTATGCAACATTTCTGCAGAAACCTGATGTGAAGGAGATTGGCTGCGTGAGTGCTCTGAGTTTCTTCATAGAAGTTTTTGTTTTCAAATTTTACCCTAGTTCCCATTTTTTCTTTTTCTCTTGGTTTACGCCCATCCTCCCCAAAACATGCTCTACATTGCCGGCCGTTTCCTTTTCACTATAGCCGCGTTCATACTTTTCGGCTACGGAGACTCCGCGATCCTGGAAAATGTGCGCACCTGGAGGCG